TAATCACCTCCTCCTCCTGCAAAGTACTTTTCGCCTTTACCCATACTGGAACCGTTCTCAACCATGTGTTGAGTTCCTCGTCCTTCTTCTCTCCAGAGAAGGCAAGGGGTGGTTTCATAGGGGTCTTTGGGTACCATAGACCTTGCTGCTGTCCCTGTTGAGGAACAGGTTGTTGCGGTGATGGTGTAGCAACCACCGCTGACCCAGAAGAAGAAGAAGCAACAGTCTGTGCGCTGCAAACGTACCACTTGGCTGCTTGCCAGCTTGTACCGGAAAGGGGCCTGACATCGCCGTTAACGGCAACGGCGGCTGTGCTGCTGGCCTGAATCCTGGCCTTTGCAAAAGGTCCAAGCTCTGGTCCAAAGAGTTCTGCATGAAGTCCAGCCTGCTGTCCACATGCGCATGCAGTGACAACATACTGTTCTTCAATATTTTCATTTGGTCAGTCATAGCTGACTCGTCCAAACCCTCTAATGCAGCCTTGTCTGCCTCTAACGTATCAAGCCTAGCTGTTCTATTTTTAATCTCTCTTTCTCTGTCGGTTGCTTGTTTCAGTTCCCTCTCTAACCGCTCGCGAATCCTTTCGACCTGTTGGAGCTCTAGGAGCTCCCTACCGCGTGGGGTCAACGGGCTTAACTGCGAGCCCGCCATTTGATTCGTGGACTGACCAGAACCTACTGATCCGGAAGTACCCGGGGACCCAACTGAGTCCCAGACGAGGACACAGCAGAGGACGCAGCAGAGCTTGCGCCGTTAGCCATTGCTGCTGCTCTGGCTGCTGCTGCCTGCTCTCTAGCTATTGCGTTTGCTGCCTCGCTCGCTGCTGCGAGAGCACGGGCTCTACGTTCGGCACGAAGCCATCTTTCGTCTCCCGGTTGTAAGGTCTGAAACACGTGCGGGACCCTAAGTGATCTCGAACGTGTCAGTCTCGCGTCGTCAACTCTACCCTCATCGGCGTCTGACCCGCTCATCAGTTAGGCAAACACTATCTGCACTACAACTCCCTGCTGGAGTCCTACCACAGCATGTGTCTGACCGACACCTAATTTTCTAAAAATAAATGTGTCCGGCAGGTCCCCTACTTTGACCGATCAAGTGGTAATCTACAACATTCACAAAAGACTGTCTACATAGTTTGTTCTTATCTTGATTAGTTCACTTACAAAAGTTTTGCACAGAACTGGCTATGGTAGCATACAACAGTCCTATACTAACTGTCTGTGAGGTGTTAGCAGTCCGTCAACCAACTAATCAATAATAAAAACAAGACTATGTTGCAGATGTTTGAACACTGGGTATGGTTGTGTTTTCCAGTCGAGCACCAATTAGAACCTACCCTCCCCTCAATCCAACATACCGGAGAGCATCTTTGAGCAGCAGTGTCCTCGTGTGTTGTGTCGGCCCACCCCTGTGCCCCAAGTCATTGCCGATCAAGCCAGCCAGTCCACTCTTATTTACCCTCGTACGGAACGAGCCTTACACCCGGTTGATCTGGCTGATCAGGAGGAATTTTAGGAGAGCCCCCATCTCCTCAGGAATTATTTAACGTCGCAGTCAGGACGACGATCACAGCCAGATTCAATCCGAGTCCCCAACCAGAAATGTTTATTGACGGTCTGGTAAGCGTCTCATAAAAGGCTGTCACACCCGGCACGACTTCTATAGCGCAGCAAAGTGCCAAAATGGACAAGCAGCCATCGCATGCGTGGCCTACTCCCATTGGGTTGGCATGGTGACCGTGACCAGTGCTTCGACCAGGGCCCTTCAGAGGCACCGCCCTTTCTCCTTCCAGATGCTTCCGGGAAGATTGTCGTCTCTCAAGGTAGCGCGCACAGGACACCTCACCAAAAGAGAGGACTCTCAAGTTGGACTCACTTCCTCACGGTAAGAAGAGATTGAGAGAGTAGATAAGGTAAGGGAACAACGTACCTGGAGATAGCTGCCCCCAACCACAGATTTCTCACCAATTGAGGTGAGTGTGCATTTGATGACCGGTCGTAGCCTCGGTACCACCCACAACGCAATGCAGTGCCACCTCAGCTTAATGCCACATCAGCATGCTCTCATCACCAATCATACATTCCGCTGTAACCACGGCATACCATGCCGTATAGCCTTCCGGCACACACCTCTCTACCCAGGTCGTGCGCCTAATGTTGGCCTGATGTCACAAGAACCAACTGCGAAGAAGCATCATCAACGCACCAAGTCTGTATAACGCCAGCGCACCAAGGTAAGTGGCGAATCGAACCAGCTCCGATACCAGATTGCAAGGAACATGAATGTGGACGAAGCACAGAAATCCAGATTGCAAAATCACACTGAAGTCCAGGTAGTCAAAGCAAGAGCAGATAGCACAATGGAACCGAGTAACCATCCATTTGAGAACGATACAGAAGAATCGTGAGTCAATGTCCAAGCCCAATCGGGCAACACCAACAGCATAACCCAATGTAGCTCTCTCTCTTGAATGGCGCCAGGCGCCCTACCTACTCTACAGCCTATGACTACAACTACAGCATGAAAGCAACCAGACAACTGGACGACCAGCGAGTGATGATGTCAACACCAATGCCGACTTCCTCTCCATCAGGTACGTCC